TTCGAATGCAACCCTCCTAGACTTACGTAGGAAGTAAAATTCTGATTAATCCTCGAGTGGCAGCAATAATAAATCTCTGGGTAAAAATCTTTTCGGCTCAGCATTTCCACAAAACGCCGAGCGCATCTTTGAGCAGTCTACTAGGTTCACATCAATAGTTCACAGGGCAAGTCCTACATTAGAAAACAATTTTTTGACTCCATTGTGCACCCATATCTTCCTGTCCGAATCGATCATGAGCAGTTCTCCTAGTTTTCTGTGTCGTATGGGAAATCTATGTGGTCTACACCGAGGTGCTCATAAATGTTGTCATGCAAAAATCCTTAGCAGTGAAGTTCAGAATTGAATAATCGCAGGCACGATCATCATAAAACTAAGATATTTTGAGGGCTTATGATACTAAACATGAACACATAAAAAAAACAAAAGCAAAAGAGTTCGTAAAGGGCATCTAACAGTTTGAACGATGTTCTCGCGCTTAATTATTTATCGAATGAAAACTTAGTAAGTGTAAGAGCTGGAAAAAAATAAGAAGGTTACTGTCTCCAGGCAAGGGTACGGTAGGTTTGATTGTCCATTTGTAGCTTAGGCGAAGACTGAGTCGAAAGGGGAAATAACAGCGCAACTGCGCTGCAACTATATTGACAAAATTATTGAAATCGAGTTCAAAATCTGTGATTCAAAACAATGACTGTTCATAAACGCTTTTTGTTTGGGAGGAGAGAAATCTTCGGAGTTACACAGGTAAAGTTTGAAAGCCGTAGGAAAGGGGGAACACTATAGATGAGCAGTTTATATGGTCGATTCCGGGTACACCCTTCAAGTACGTGCGTACTACGTTTTCATAATTTTTTGTATTGAGTTTTGAATTTGATTTATTAGTATGGAACTTTCTGGCATTCGATTTTAGGACAAAAATGGCTTCGTATTTTTGAGTATAATGATGTTTGACATAAATTTTCTGAAAGGATCAATATGGCTGAATGATTATTGTCTATTTCAGCCAGTGTCTTCCATGGTCCAAGCCTCCATCTGACAAAAGTCAATCGGAAACATATGAGCGAATACGTCTGTGTTGCCAGTAATGGAATTCCACCCGACGAAACGTGGACCGTAAAACTACTTGTCACATGTAAGTTGCTACGTTGGTATTGAAACAGAGTTTGCCAGTTTTCTTTGGATACGCCACAGCTTCGACTCTGACTTCGATCCTACAGATGGAACTATGTGTTTTTTTTATTTCATGGCAAACTATCGTTTCTTGAATTTGTTAGGGTAAACTATCACTCACCTCACTACTTCTTGTGCACTCAAACAGTTTTTGCAGACCACCTCTTAGGCTTGGCCTGACCGATCTGAACTGATTCATGGGTAATGATGAGCCCTCCTATTACAGTACTTCGCGTTTTAAAACTCAAGGACACACAATAACAAAAGTTCCACCAAGGGTTGTACCGTTCGATCGGTACGTACTCCTCAGTATAAGATGAGGTCGTCCTAATTGGGAACTACTCAGGAAATCGTTCTTTCGGCTGATCCTTTCTAGATAGGCTAGGATGAATATAAAGCGAATCATCGCCAGCTATAACTCGATCAGTCGTAGAGTCGTCTTAAAACGTGGCGTGTTCAGCTCGTAGTGACGTTGCCCGGACGGACAGACGCCCTTCGGCGGCTCCACTTATTGTCCAAGTGAATATGCCGACGACGAGCGGCACAAACTCAATTTTGACGATCGCATGTTTGTGGGTCGCTGGCCATGTCGTTTTCTTCGCCGAATTTCAATTGGTGAACTCCTAGGGACCCTCAAAAAGTGGAGAGATACTTCCCGGAAGTCAACCACTATAAGGTTATTGGGAACTTATTAATGGGTAATTAGTGGGAATCTGAAAACCAAAAGCCCTCGACAAGGGTCGAACATTTTGGGATGCGCCACGTATATGATTGCCTCTTTGAGCGTGGAGTTCCAGTTGCTTTTGTCAAATATACACGCCAACTCCAGCCGGCACTGACAGTTTTTGTTACAATTACATAAATAAACAGTGCCCCTTTGCAGCCGGGCGATCCAAGTTACTAGTATAAAAAGTGTGCTGCTATGCTCCTAGTGAAGTAGCCGATGCCAGCTGCATTTTTGCCGAGTAAAATTGGTTTCGCAGTTTTTGCTACAATAGGAGTGTTTTGAACCTAATCATCGCCAGAGTACTGCGAAGAGCTAGCTCCATTCCCTGTTCTCACTGACAGATGCTGTAGTTGCTTTTGTTTGAGGAAAAGCTCAGCCGCTTTAAACGAAGGAAATTTGAACAAAACCTCAGAAAACTCTTCTGCTTAATACTTAATAAGCCATTTTATGTTAGAATTAAACCTCGAAAATTTTCAAAATTTTGTAGTCCGTTTTTCAGTCGCTCCACTGATCCAAGCCAAGTCAGCGTCCGTTCGTGTCCCCGTGGGTGGTTTGGCCCGTCTTGTCTGTACGGCTGAATCGTGGCCAAGACCCGACGTCACTTGGGACAAGGAAGGGCAACAAATCTTCGATTCGGATAACTATGCTACGGTAGGTGCAATGGTTTATTGATTGATGACTACTACGTAATTGTCCTATTTGGAGCATGAAAGTCACCCGGTTAGCAAGTCATCACTAAGTCTGCAATGCATGTTGAATCATTTAAGGCATTTCATGTATAACAGAAACGCATACCCCTGGGTAGGTGTGATAGCAAACAGCTCATGTAGAAGAAGGGTTTAAGAGATTTTTTTTNTTTTTTTTCCCAATAGAAGCCTGTGTTGATAATAAGGCAGTTTACTGAAACGGTCCCATGGATTCAAGTATACCCTAAATCTTTGTTAATGCCGGAACTTCATCATGCCACTGATTATTATTCGCTATTATTATTGGCTGTTGTGAAACCAAATTGGTTTTCATCTAAAGAATGATGTGACTTCAGTCTCAAACTGTCTCTGGCCAATATCACAGCGTTCACGTTCTTGAAATTCGACGTGTCGAAAAACATCATTACGGAAGTTACCGGTGTACCGCTCGGAATGATAATGGCATACACTTTGCCGACATCGACCTCGAAGGTTTGCTTGTTTTCCTTGATACCGTTTTATTTGAAATGTATTCATACAACCCCTTTTATTTCTATCCAAATTCCTTTTGATTTCCACAGCACAAGTGATAACTATATGTGATTACGGTTTACTATCGGCAGTCAAATCAAAATCGAAAGGCAAATTTATCTGGAAAGGAAGCTCCCGCAATGAAGCCCGCGGGGAGGGGTTACCAATTGCGAAGAGTGAGTGAGAATCTTTCCAAATGTTGAGCAATCCCGCCAATCCCGGGATTGGGGCAAATCTCTGCTTGCCAGTAGGTTCATCAACTTGGTATGCCGACATACAGAATGCCGGAAGGTGTCTGTTGAACAACGACGAAGTAATACATAACCGAACAGAACATAGCAAAAATAAAACAAACATTTGTTACGTAGACAATTTTGACAGCTAAGCTTTAGTAAATCCGATAAACGATAAACGCCAATTTACCTCCTCTCTCGAAGTTACTTCGAGTTCTCGGATTTAGCCCTTTATCAACTGTTGTAAGAGAGATTTTCCAGAAGCCGAGCCGAACTATCTGTACACAAACGCAATTCAGGAAGGTGAGCAGCTACTTTTACAAAAGTTTATCAACTAGGTGAATGCTCAGCATGTTAGGAGCTCTCTTTTTTGAAGAACTCGTCCAAAACTCTTCGCGAGAGCTGATGTTTGATTATGCTCGCGTCTCACTTGTGTACGTGATCAGATGTGGTTTCCAAAAAAAAACCTTCCGCTCGTTCATACACATCTGGATGCATATTGGGCTCCAGCCATTATGGACGAGCTGTCCACATTTTTTAATCTGTCGATTTCGCCTCAGTGGCCCACGGGTGGACGAGTCTCCCTCATTTGGTAGAGTTTTTCACAAACAATCCTAGTCAAGCATAAATGTAGATAGTTCGTCCAAAATGTGTGAAGCATCCAGGGTGTGCACACCTGCAGTAATCACACAAAATGAATGCTCTACGCACTGCACGTTTGCACTAACATTGCAGGTTCTGGTTTAGTGAACGATAGTGATGACGAGGATTCAGATAAAGAAGAGCCTCGAAACGAAGTCATTTCACGCGATTTCACCTACGCGCGTGCAATCGATACGCAACCTGTTCGATCAATATCCTCGTCAATTCGCACCCGCACCACACCTCGTTCTGCTGAAGGCACGTGTTTTTAAATCTGTTGTAAATGTGTGTGATCACTGTGTATTGAACGTCCTGTTTCACTGACGCCCGAAATGTAGTTTATACTTGTGGAAGTCGTAGCACCTGTCTATGTGGACCTTATTTATCGATCGCACCTGAGCGTCGTCTCCCTGCTAGTTTTCATCGCTAGCGCTTGTGGTTACCAACCTATCACCCTTCTACTGAACCCCAATTAGTCTGCAGTTGAGCGGTACATCCATGCTCGGCAAACCTCTTCGCCGACATGCAGCAGACGAATGCTAACGCCAACGTGTCGCTGTGGACGCACGTTTATACTTGCTTACCCATCATGCGCAATCAAGCTGCGCGTTCATAGTTGCGAGTGCCTTCTCACCTTCCCTTGCACCATTCATTATCTCCTTTGTTTACTCTAGACGTGCAGTAGGTCCAAGAAGTTTACTGAGGGCTTGACCAACCCAGAACTTTCCCAATAAATAGCAGTTTATCAAAAAAAAAACGATCATCTCGTATACTAGCCGTTGTCTCCTTTCAGTAACTTTGTTTCAGAATTACGGCAAGAGGAACGCGACGCTGATGATTCCCAAAGAATTTCATTGATTCTTACAAGTATTCTAATGTTGTTGAGGTTGTATATCAATTAATGGAATTGTTAGGTTCTTGATAATCTTTGTATATATTCGTTTTAAGTAACACACGCGCCAGTGTAAATGATCTCTGTGTCGGTTTCACTTACCTGTAACCCAGAAAATAAATAAACCATTTTGTATCGATTAGTATTGATTGGCTTATAAGTTCATTGTGTCTGCAGAATGTCCGTCTGTCGTCGGTCAAGTATTTATCTCGAATAGCCACAAGGAAATTGCATTTATAATTGAATTAGGGCATGGTGGATGTTGCCACATAAGGAAGGACACTTAAAGCTTGGCACGGGGGAGGGGGGAAGGGGACAGTTTATATGGCATGATAGAGCTCTAAATACATGGATTTTACTGGTTCTACTCGATTTTTCAGTCGCGTCTGGGTGCTGTAGAAGAGCGCTCAACGAAGACCGGGGTTCCATCAAATCCCTGGTAGAATAGTTTCCCGTATTCGCCGAAGGCACTTATGTATGTCTGCCTCATGGGAAACTGTTGCCCCGACCGGTAAGAGGTCTGTCCTTGTCTTTGTGGAGTGTGTATTAAGGTTTCGATTGGTGAGTGCCCCATTTGATTCATGCACTGTATGTATTTTCTTATATTCCACCCTCATATTTTCCTTTTCTGTGTAATTCTTGTTAATCTGAGATTATGTTGGCCTTAAGAATAATGATGAACTGTTTTGACCCTGCCTTCCTGGCAGTGCTCTCTCACTACTCTGTTCAACCACTCGCCGTTCAACCTCAAGCAGCTTTTTGAATTCACCGACTCCTGGGCAGTTTGTTCAATTCTTTACATAGATTGCTTTTTCTTAAGGCTCCGAGATCTCTCCCGTCGCATGAGAGCTGCCCTGTGCGGAAGCCG